TATTCCTTAGTCTATTCTATATTCTTTACTGATACACTGAGCCAAAGTAATTTCAGATGTTATCCACCTGAAAAAAGAACTTAAATGATCTTCCACTCATTCTTGAGACGATTGATTCTTATTCTACTGTTTGTACTTTGTCCAAGCCCCGGTGATCCAAGATGGCGCCCAATTCAAATGAATGGCTTGTGCTCGGTAGTGCATGGGACTTCACGGGCGCCGACATCGTCTGGTCCTCCCGGTTCTGTGCAGTGGATTATCTCCCATGATGCATTGCGCCAAATACGCGTGTGTGGCTCTCATGCACGTGTACAGAGGGGCTCGGCCGCGCTCTGACCAATCAGAGCTGATCAAAGCAGTGGCAGAGCGGAGTCAGAGCAGGAAGGAAACGAGCAGAGTTTGTGGCAGTAAAGTGTGGATTTAAAAACAGTTCAGGATTTAAGAAGAAAAATAGTTCAGGATGACAAGGGACACTAAAATCCCCACAAAATCCAATATTTCTTGGTAGCCCTCGTGAATTTAGTCTGCAGTACCACAGCGCCTCCTGTGCCCGTAGGTGGGACAACTCTAAAGCCTAGTGTATACTTGCGCAGCGCTGCTTAAAGGTATAAAGGAGGATTTTCCCATATTTTAGGAAAGAACCGCCCTTTCTACTTTTTGAACAAAACTCTCTGCTCTTATTGGACAAGGACGTATAAACAGAATGATTGACATTTGGGAGGACCAATAGTGTTGATGATCCACCCGGAAGTAAAAAATCCTCTTGGATACCTTTAAGTTAGCGGTTGCGGTGGACCTCCGAAAGCACAATTTCATTTATACTCCTTGCGAAGTTTTGAGGAGAATGTTTGGTCCCCAGAAACACAACCAACCATACGATGCCGATCTCACAGGAGTTGCTTGAGAAACCAAAGCGGTCTCATTTACGCTGCTTCTTTCTCCTCTTCAGAACAAAAACATGAACAAAAACAAAGCTGTTTGAGATCATTACATGTGTTTCTACTGTAGGTTTATGTGACCGTTCTATGGACTCATTAGATTTTGTGAAAAAAAGACTCAGTTCTTGTTGGAAACATAGTTATTATTAAATTGTATTAATTACAAACGGCATACAAAAGTGGTAAATATCTGAGGCAAACATTAACAATTTATAAGTGCAGGAGTAATGGAACAGACGCAGCTACGATTCAAACAAAGACAGGAACAGTGCAAAAGAAATTACTGCACAGTTTATAAGTTATATATAAGTTAGATATGCAACAGAACTCTAGTCCACAGTCTCCACGTATATCAGGCTCTGAGCCCAAACTGCTTTTCCTTCGAAGCACAAAGCTCTCTGCTCCATAGTTCCTCGTCCATGTCCCTGCTGCAGCCGCTCCTTCCAATACACACACACGGACCAATCACAGCGGAGCTTCCTTGCGGCGACCCTTACGTAGTTAGAAAATGTTGATGCTGCGCGGCAGGCAACGGCAGGCACCGCAGGGCCTTGCGGTGACCAACGCGCAAGTGACGTCACGTCACCTCCGTAAGCTCCGCGCCGCGCGAGTATAAACTAGGCTTAAGCGAGTAACACCCTATCCAGTTATTATTATAGATTCATGACTTTGTCTGGTTCACAAGTACAGAAAATAACATTTATGGACACTGCTCTCTGCCCTTTATGGACCAACGGCTCGGTGTGGGTTTGTTTTTATCATTGCGTTTGTTGTGTTTGAACTGCCTGATCTGATCTGTGTTGGCAAAATCCACAGATTTGTGAAGTCCCACCGAGATAAATCACTACTGTTCTGATTTCGATCTATACAAGAATAAAATTAATTGAATTGAAATTAATGGCTGCAAGAAGAAGGTCCTGGGTTCAAATCCCGGTCAGAACAGGGCCTTTCTGAGTGGAGTTTGCATATTCTCCCTGTGTCTGCATAGGTTTCCTCCGGGTGCTACGGTTTCCCTATACCACTAAAAACATGCACAATAGTCTGAATGTAAATGAGAGAGTGAATTGATGGTGTTGATTGGAGCTGATGGTCCAGTGTGTTCTGGACTTGCTTCTGTCATCACCGTGTGGAGGGATCGGAACAGTATTTGAACTCTGAACATTGTGAAACACTTTGGGTCTGTACCTTGGTCTGTAAAATGCGCTATATAAAAAATCATTAATTACTTACTGGGGGACTTTTTGCACATGTATTCCAATGTGTGTGTGTATTGTCTCTATCTTTCTCTATGTCTCTCTCTCCTATCTGTCTCTCTCTCTCTGTCTCTCTCTCCATGGGTGTCTGTCTCTCTCTGTCTCTCTCTGTCTCTCTCTCTGTCCCGGTCTCCCTCCCTCTGTCTCTCTCTCTTTCTGTCTCTTTCTGTCTCTCTCTTTGTCTCTCTCTCTATCTTTCTCGGTCTCTCTCTCGGTCTCTCTCTCGGTCTCTCTCTCGGTCTCTCTCTCTGTCCCAGTCTCCCTCCCTCTGTCTCTGTCTTCTCTCTCTCTGTCTCTCTCTCTCTCTCTCTCTCTTTCTCTCCTATCTGTCTCTATCTCTCTTTGGGTGACCTTGGTCTGTAAAATGCGCTATATAAATAATCATTACTTACTTACTGGGGGACTTTTTGCACATGTTTTCCAATGTGTGTGTATTTTTTACTGCTGCTTGACTCTGAATCCTTCTCCCCTCACCTGCTTTGCATTCGCAGGCCGCGTACAGGTAGTTGTTGGTGCGCAGGAGCTTGCACTGGCCGTAGGCGCCGCAGTCGTTGATGCAGGGCGTCAGGTAGGACCGCATGTACACCTCCGCCGTGACATTGGAACAAGCCTCGAATCTGGAAATAGAAGAACGAGAGAGCGAGAGTGAGAGAGAGAGAGAACACAGTCAGACAGAGGTGAGAGCGGGGACAACACGACTGCTGCATTATGGGAAGCGGGACCCGACCTGGTGAACACATGAATATTTGAGGCTCGGCCGGGCGTCGCGTGAATGGGTTCATGTCTCACTTCTGCATCAATGTTTCACAGAGGATCACACAATCCTTTCATCTCGCGACTTGGAAGAAAGAAAAATACCTGGTTTTGCGGCGGTAGTGCATTGAAAAGGCGATAGTGGAAAAGCCACGTTTTTATGCTAAAGATAGAGATTTTATGCTAGCTTCTTTATTATGCTAAAGTTAGAAAGAGAGATTTTCTTTATTTTTAAGTTCCGTCCATCAACTTAATTGTAGCCTTAAAGGGGACCTGTCATGGGGCCACTGGTTCAAACACAGCAACGTCTGCGCGGGAGTGAAAGTGTGAGAGAGACCTCAGCACCCTTGGGTAACAGGCCATCTGCACCTCTCCTGCTCTATCTCTCTCTCCTCTTTCTGTCTCTCTCTCTCTCTCTCATGTTCAAATTCAAAGTGCGAGAGAGAAAAGTCTTTGTTCTGTCTTTTCACATTTTGCTGCCTTTGATATTTGCCTTAATGGCTCTCTCTCTCTCTGTCTGTCCTATCTGTCTCTGTCTCTGTGTCTCTCTCCTATCGCTCTCTTTCTCTCTCCCTTTCTCCATCACTGTCTCTGTCTCCCTCTCTCTGTCTCTCTCTCTCTCTCTCTCTCTCTCTTTCCTTCACGTTCAAAGTGTGAAAGAGTCTGTTCACATTTCGCTGCCATTAATATATTCGCCTCAGCGATGAGTTGGTAAAACAGTAGTGTGAAAAAAAGACTAACTGGAGAAAGTTGTGGAAGAACTTTTTAATTGTTGGCAGAGATTCTGACGGAGAGAATTACTGACTGCAAATTGGGATGAGAAACGGATTTATGCTTTTAATCCTACTGCAAGTTACTAACAAGAGGTCTTTGTCAAGTCTCCTTCTGTTCTTTAAAATCATCTCCATTTCAATTCAATGTTTTTGTCTCGGAGGACTTTGCAAAGTTGTGGATTCACCAGCAACTGATCAGAGAATCTAAACAGTCTGAACGCAGCAAATGCTATGCTAACAAACAGATAGGAGCGTTGGTAACTAAGAGGCAGACGACCAATGTCCAGAAAAGTTTATAAAAGTCCCAGATCATCACCGTCCTTAGAGCCTCCTGCATCGGCAACGAACCACTCAGAACCCAGTGGGAAAAAAGAAATGAAAATAAAACACATTTTTTGTTTCCACACAATAGGGATACTGGATCCTATATGTAATATTACTGACTAGAACCAGGAAGTACCATCACATTAGTCCTGTTCTCAGGTCTCCGCTTCCTGTGGCTCAGAGAATAGACCAAAGTACATCTGTGACATGATAGTGCCACGTGAACTAAGTCTGAGGAGCACAGGGTCTGGACTCCTGCTGAGACTCTGAGGAGCACAGGGACTGGCCTCCTGCTGAGACTCTGAGGAGCACAGGGACTGGCCTCCTGCTAGGATTCTGAGGAGCACAGGGACTGGCTTCCTCCTGGGACTCTGAGGAGCACAGGGACCGACCTCCTGCTGGGACTCTGAGGAGCACAGGGACCGACCTCCAGCTGGGACTCTGAGGAGCACAGGGACTGGTCTCCTGCTGGGACTCTAAGGAGCACAGGGACTGGCCTCATACCTCCAGAGAGAACGGCTCCAGAGAGAACGGCTCCAGAGAGAACGGCTCCAGAGAGAACGGCTCCAGAGAGAACGGCTCCAGAGAGAACGGCTCCAGAGAGAACGGCTCCAGAGAGAACGGCTCCAGAGAGAACGGCTCCAGAGAGAACGGCTCCAGAGAGAACGGATCCAGAGAGAACGGATCCAGAGAGAACGGCTCCAGAGAGAACGGCTCCAGAGAGAACGGCTCCAGAGAGAACGCCTCCAGAGAGAACGCCTCCAGAGAGAACGCCTCCAGAGAGAACGCCTCCAGAGAGAACGCCTCCAGAGAGAACGGCTGCAGAGAGAACGGCTCCAGAGAGAACGCCTCCAGAGAGAACGGCTCCAGAGAGAACGGCTCCAGAGAGAACGGCTCCAGAGAGAACGGCTCCAGAGAGAACGGCTCCAGAGAGAACGGCTCCAGAGAGAGCGGCTCCAGAGAGAACGGCTCCAGAGAGAATGGCTCCAGAGAGAACGGCTCCAGAGAAAACGGCTCCAGAGAAAACGGCTCCAGAGAGAACGGCTCCAGAGAGAACGGCTCCAGAGAGAACGGCTCCAGAGAGAACGGCTCCAGAGAGAACGCCTCCAGAGAGAACGCCTCCAGAGAGAACGCCTCCAGAGAGAACGGCTGCAGAGAGAACGGCTCCAGAGAGAACGGCTCCTGAGAGAACGGCTCCAGAGAGAACGGCTCCAGAGAGAACGCCTCCAGAGAGAACGGCTCCAGAGAGAACGCCTCCAGAGAGAACGGCTCCAGAGAGAACGCCTCCAGAGAGAACGCCTCCAGAGAGAACGCCTCCAGAGAGAACGCCTCCAGAGAGAACGCCTCCAGATGGGGAAGATTCAAGATAGATAGATAGATATTAATTGATCCTTGTGGGAGAAATTCAGGTGTCCAGTAGCAGCAAAAATAAAATTGATAATTCCAAAAAGCTAACAATAGTAATAATCAGCAACAGCCCTTCAGGTCACAGCAGCAGAGGTGGAGTAGCCTCTGGGTGGAGCAGGACAGGTCCAAAGGTGGCGTAGCCTCTGGGTGGAGCAGGACAGGTCCAAAGGTGGAGTAGCCTCTGGGTGGAGCAGGACAGGTCCAAAGGTGGAGTAGCCGGTTGGTTCGGACCATTTCATCTGCTCTAGTCCAAAGTAAAATGCCAAAAGCTTCATTAGCATTTTCCAAAAAGTTAGCATTCCTCCTGTGGATTTTCACCTGATCCACTTGGTTCGGACCATGAATCTTTTCTGGTCTGGTCTGGACCAGTGTAAAACCATGAATCCTCTCTGCTCTGGTCTGGACCAGTGTAAAACCATGAACGCTGTACTGCAGCAACAAGTAGAAAAAAGCAAGAAAAAAACAATTCTAAAGCACAAAGCAACAACTGTTTCAGGACTACTTAGGACCTGCAGCCGTTTTCCAGCTCATTCAAAAGAAAAACACAAGATAGATAGATAGATAGATAGATAGATAGATAGATAGATAGATAGATAGATAGATAGATAGATAGATAGATAGATAGATAGATAGATGATAGATAGATAGATAGATAATAGATAGATGATAGATAGATAGATAGATAGATAGATAGATAGATAGATAGATAGATAGATAGATAGATAGATAGATAGATAGATAGATGATAGATAGATGATAGATAGATAGATAGATAATAGATAGATGATAGATAGATAGATAGATAGATAGATAGATAGATAGATAGATGATAGATAGATGATAGATAGATAGATAGATAGATAGATAGATAGATAGATAGATAGATAGATAGATAGATAGATAGATAGATAGATAGATAGATAGATATATAGATAGATAGATAGATAGATAGATAGATAGATAGATAGATAGATAGATAGATAGATAGATAGATAGATAGATAGATAGATAGATAGATAGATAGATAGATAGATGATAGATGATAATAGATAGATAGATAGATAGATGATAGATAGATAGATAGATAGATAGATAGATAGATAGATAGATAGATAGATAGATAGATGATGATGAGATAGATAGATAGATAGATAGATAGATAGATAGATAGATAGATAGATAGATAGATAGATAGATAGATAGATAGATAGATAGATAGATAGATAGATAGATAGATGATAGATAGATAGACAGAGGGGTGCATAAAATGACTCCCGGGCCTGAGTTTGGACACGCCTGTTCTGAGCCTTAAACATACTAAACCTGGACTCACCCGCGGACTGTGGCGCAGAGGGACCGCAGACTGAGGTACCAGGTCCCGGTCTGAGGGTACGGGATCCTCAGTTTGGTGATGTTGTCGGACGTGTTGACCGACAGAAAGAATCCGGCCACCGACTCTGCCAAAAGAAACACAAGAGAAAGAAAGTGTTGAAGAAAGTTGCCGTTTTTAGTGTCTGCTTTGAGTTCCTCACATCTATCCAAACATGTACAGACTTACATATATTTGTTTGCAGTGTGTCTACTGTCATGGAGCCTATGGTCTAGACACGCCTGAGATCCAACAGCACATGTAGACAGAAGACAGTACCTGATTCACATCGGAGCGTGCCGTTCTCGCGCAGGAACAGCGGCATGCCGTGGTTCAAACAGCCGAACACCGTCACGTTGGCGCCCTTCAGTGTCGACTGGAACGAGAAGAAGACACGAAAGAAATCACACCTCACACACGACTGTCTGGGCCCAGAGAGGAACCTCAGTTTGGGAAGCTTCCTAGACGTTATTTGCATGACCCACTGGGAGGAGGCCCGCGGGGTAAGACCCAGGGAGGACCCAGAGAAGACCCAGCAAAGACCCAGCAAAGACCCAGGGAAGACCCAGAGAAGACCCAGAGTAGACCCAGAGAAGACCCAGAGGCGACCCAGAGAAGACTCAGAGAAGACCCAGAGAAGACCCAGAAAAGACCCAGAGGAGACCCAGAGAAGACCCAGAGGAGACCCAGGGGAGACCCAGAGGAGACCCAAAGAAGACCCAGAGAAGACCCAGAAAAGACCCAGAGGAGACCCAGAGAAGACCCAAAGGAGACCCAGGGGAGACCCAGAGGAGACCCAAAGAAGACCCAGAGAAGACCCAGAGGAGACCCAGAGAAGACCCAGAGAAGACCCAGAGAAGACCCAGAGAAGACCCAGAGAAGACCAAGAGGAGACCCAGAGAAGACCCAGAGGAGACCCAGAGGAGACCCAGAGGAGACCCAAAGAAGACCCAGAGAAGACCCAGAGGAGACCCAGAGAAGACCCAGAGAAGACCCAGAGAAGACCAAGAGGAGACCCAGAGAAGACCCAGAGGAGACCCAGAGGAGACCCAGAGGAGACCCAAAGGAGACCCAGAGAAGACTCAGAGGAGACCCAGAGAAGACCCAGAGAAGACCCAGAGAAGACCCAGAGAAGACCCAGAGGAGACCCAGAGGAGACCCAGAGAAGACCAAGAGGAGACCCAGAGAAGACCCAGAGGAGACCCAGAGGAGACCCAGAGGAGACCCAAAGGAGACCCAGAGAAGACTCAGAGGAGACCCAGAGAAGACCCAGAGGAGACCCAGGAAAGACCCAGAGAAGAGCCAGAGGAGACCCAGAGGAGACCCAGGAAAGACCCAGAGAAGAGCCAGAGGAGACCCAAAGAAGACCCAGAGAAGACCCAGAGGAGACCCAGAGAAGACCCAGAGAAGACCCAGAGTAGACCCAGAGAAGACCCAGAGGAGACCCAGAGAAGACTCAGAGAAGACCCAGAGAAGACCCAGAAAAGACCCAGAGGAGACCCAGAGAAGACCCAGAGAAGACCCAGAGGAGACCCAGGGGAGACCCAGAGGAGACCCAAAGAAGACCCAGAGGAGACCCAGAGGAGACCCAGAGGAGACCCAGAGGAGACCCAGAGGAGACCCAGGGGAGACCCAGAGGAGACCCAAAGAAGACCCAGAGAAGACCCAGAGGAGACCCAGAGAAGACCCAGAGAAGACCCAGAGAAGACCCAGAGGAGACCCAGAGAAGACCCAGAGAAGACCCAGAGGAGACCCAGAGGAGACCCAGAGGAGACCCAAAGAAGACCCAGAGAAGACCCAGAGGAGACCCAGAGAAGACCCAGAGAAGACCCAGAGAAGACCAAGAGGAGACCCAGAGAAGACCCAGAGGAGACCCAGAGGAGACCCAGAGGAGACCCAAAGGAGACCCAGAGAAGACCCAGAGGAGACTCAGAGGAGACCCAGAGGAGACCCAGAGGAGACCCAGGAAAGACCCAGAGAAGAGCCAGAGGAGACCCAGAGGAGACCCAGGAAAGACCCAGAGAAGAGCCAGAGGAGACCCAAAGAAGACCCAGAGAAGACCCAGAGGAGACCCAGAGAAGACCCAGAGAAGACCCAGAGAAGACCCAGAGGAGACCCAGAGAAGACCCAGAGGAGACCCAGAGGAGACCCAGAGGAGACCCAAAGGAGACCCAGAGAAGACTCAGAGGAGACCCAGAGAAGACCCAGAGAAGACCCAGAGAAGACCCAGAGAAGACCCAGAGAAGACCCAGAGGAGACCCAGAGGAGACCCAGGAAAGACCCAGAGTAGACCCAGAGAAGACCCACATTCTAAAACATGAAATGTAAATACTAGAGATTTTGTTTTCTGTTATTTAAATGAGTTCAGAGTTTAGTTTAGTGGTTTAGTAAAGAGTACAGAGCCGTGGTCATATATCTTGTGTTGTGTGCTCCTCATTCCTACTGTTCTGTGACTTGTGGTGCAACACTGGAATTTCCCCACTGTGGGACAAATAGAGGATCTCTTACTATCTGAATCTTAATCATCATATTTAACAGTTAATTTAATGATTACATTTCTACCACCATGGCCTCGTTCTACATCCTGTCTGTCCGTTGGAGCGGATCACTCTCTCAATAGAGGCCTCCCCAGTGTCTGTGGCACCAAAGTGTGGATTTAAAGAAAACCGATGAATTTAAGAAGAAAAAAAAATCACCACAGATTCCGACCTTTATGAAAGCTGTCAGTTCTCTGTCAGGTTCTCTTTCAGGTTCTCTGTCAGCTGAGGTCGAGCTGTTTTAGTTTTTACATTGAGTTCTATGAGGAAAATGTCTGGGTAGCCCACGTGAATTTAGTTTTATTTAGTCTTAATTTTCCTTGGCTCATCATTAACTTTGTAAGATAGACAGATAGATAGATACTGTAGATAGATACATTGGTAGGTTGGTCGGTCGGTCGGTTGGTCGGTCAGTGGTAGGTAGGTGGATGGATGGATAAATACATACAGTACATACATACTGTACATACATACGTACATACATACATGTAGGCTGACAGACACACACACACAAAAGTTAGCTCTGACCAACAGGATTATCAACATCACCTCAAACCAATCTCTCGATGCCCACTTTGTTTTTGCCATTTCACTTATTTTAACTTCCGACAGACGCCCTCTCTCCCGTCGTAAACATGGCAGAGATTAAACATGAGCTCTTAAAACACTTCTTCACAGGACGCGCCTCTCCTCCGAGAATCGCATTACCATATTCACATCCCGACATTCCGCCTGTTGCACAATGAAGAGGTAAGAGAAACCGTGTCTAATGTTTTACCAGCGGGACGACTGCATTAGTATAATGAGGGGAACGTTGGTTTGTTTATTAGGACAAAAAAACTAATGTGTGGAGCGTTCGGAGTCTAAACGGCTTCGTTTATTCTGCTCCTAAAGCCGCAGCCAACGCGGAAAATACCCGTTTAGAAAAAGAATGAGCGAGTAAACAACGCACAGGGTTTCTCTCTGCTGAATCGGCTGGAGAAAGAAATCTTAAAACGTGTTAGGAACAAAGCAGAATGATTGTCGGATTTCTGTTATCGCTGTGTCTGCTCCTGTCAGATCAGGGAGGTCCGAAAACCAGCTTTTGGTCTCTCTCTGGTCTCTCTCTCTCTGGATTCTCTTTCTTGTCTCTCTCTCTGGTCTCACTCTCTCTGGTCTCTCTTTCTGGTCTCTCTCTCTCTCTGGTCTCTCTCTCTCTCTCTGGTCTCTCTCTCTCTCTCTGGTCTCTCTCTCTGGTCCCTCTCTCTGGTCTCTCACTGGTCTTTCTTTCTCTAGTCTCGCTCCCTCTGGTGTTTTTTTCTCAGTTGTCTCTCTCTCTCTCTGTTCTTTCTCCCTCTAGTCTATTTCTAGTCTTTCTCTCTGGTTTCTTTCTCTGGTCTCTCTCCCTCTGGTCTCTCTTTCTGGTTTCTCGCTCTGGTCTCTCTCTCCGTCTAGTGTATTTTTCTCAGCTGTCTCCCTCTCTCTGGTCTCTCTCTCTCTCTCTGGTATAACTCTCTCTCTGGTCTTTCTTTCTGGTTTCTCCCTCTGGTCTCTCTCTCTGGTCTCTCTGCCTCTGGTTTCTCTCTCTGGTCTCTCTGCCTCTGGTCTCTCTCTCTGGCTTCTCCCTCTGGTCTCTCTCTCTGGTCTCTCCCTCTGGTCTCTCTCTCTGGTTTCTCTCTCTGGTTTCTCCCTCTGGTCTCTCTCTCTGGTCTCTCTCTCTGGTTTCTCCCGCTGGTCTCTCTCTCTGGTTTCTCCCTCTGGTCTCTCTCTCTGGTTTCTCTCTCTGGTCTCGCTCTCTGGTTTCTCCCTCTGGTCTCTCTCTCTGGTTTCTCCCTCTGGTCTCTCCCTCTGGTCTCTCTCTCTGGTTTCTCACTCTGGTCTCTCTCTCCGGTTTCTCTCTCTTGTCTCTCTCTTTGGTCTCTCTCTGTTCTCTCTCTGTAATAATCAAGCAACGTAAAACATATCTGTGTTATTGGCGATGGAGCATATTTTCTTCACTGGCTTCTTGAACACAAACCCCACATTAGTTCTTTTACCATAACCTTTTGTCGCACAATGTTGCAGAGGGCGCTACGGGGGTTGGAAAAAAACCACTCCCAGTCAAACACATTCAACATCTTGCGAGGTCTCAACAATGACACACACCACACACTCGAGCAAACACAACGTTTCATGTGAGACGTTCCATCGCTGCTAGGCAACAGCTTACACAGACTTTAAGAAACGTCCCGTCGAAATGAGAACTGACAGAATTTAGGTTTTTTTTTTTTAGCAGATAAAATCACTGTGAGAGTTTTTACGGCAGAGAAACAGATGCAGTTGTCATCGCCCAAGAAGGAAACACCAACGAGTGATGAAGGAGCGAGAGCAAGAAATATCACAAAATAAAACCTGACTCCAACCTGCTCTGGGGCAAATAGTGTGGTTTAGAGAAGGCTGTGAGCGGAGAAGTCAAAAGTATAAATATTCATCCGGTATACGCCAAAAACAGGGATGGACACGGCAAAAAGTTATGAAAAATACGAAGAAATTGCTCAGAAATGGGTAAAATGTGTCTTAATCTGAGCACATTGGGACTGAGCATTAAAACAAGATTTGTGAATGAGACAAAGCAAAATGATTTGGTTTAAAAAGATACAGATATGTCTGGAGTGAGAAAATAAAGCAACAGTTCTTGAAATGAGACTAAATGACATTGTCTCGTTAAGAGAATCTTGTTTTAAGACTTTCAGAATGTGTCAGATTCAGATAAAAAATACTCGATTACAGCGATTATTACCTCATATTTGATCATTTTTTGTAGTGCAACACAACAACACAGGCCCAACCCTACATTCTTCTTCTTCTTTTTCTCCTTCTTCTCCTTCCTCTTCTTCTCCTTCTTCTTCTCCTTCTTCTACTCCTTCTCCATCTCATTCTCCTTCTTCTGCTCCTTCTTCTCCTTCATCTTCTCCTTCTTCTTCTCCTTCTCCTTCTCATTCTCCTTCTCCTTCTCCTTCTCATTCTCCTTCTTCTCCTTCTTCTCATTCTCCTTCTTCTCATTCTCCTTCTTCTCCTTCTCCTTCTTCTCCTTCTTCTCCTTCTTCTCATTCTCCTTCTTCTCATTCTCCTTCTTCTCCTTCTCCTTCTTCTCCTTCTTCTCATTCTCCTGCTTCTGCCGCTTCTTCTTCTTAACCATCTGAACCAACCCGGACTCTGAGGAGCACAGGGACTGGCCTCCTGCTGGTCCCAGAGTCAGAGCTAAGCATGGGGAGTCTTCATTTCACGTTCATGCTGCTAAAACCTGGAGCAGTCTTCCTGAAAATGTGAGACAAGCTTCTTCTTTGACAATGTTTAAGTCCAGGGTAAAAACAGTTCAGTTCATCTGTTTTAACTGAAGGATTTCATCTTTCTATTTGATATACTGTGATTTCTTCTTCTTCTTCTTCGGTCGATGGTCAGGGGAAAACAAGGCTCTGACCTATATGTCTATGAGGTGATGGATCATGTTTGCGTTGACCAATCAGAGCGCGGCGTTGGCGGGGGTGTCGGGTGGCCCCCCCTGAGGACTGCGGCGGTAATTGCAGCAGGAAGCAGTCAATAAACCGCAAAGTTATACATCAGCTCAATTATTCTCATTTGCCACAACATTAAGAACGCCGCCGCCGCCGCTGTGCGTGACCGTTCATCCATCAGCGGAGCCAAAGGGGAGCGTACGGCCCCGAGCTGCGATGGAGGAGGCAAGTCACGGTAAGTTTATCTGTATGGCACAGTTTATACACAAGGCAACTCAAAGGGCAGAACAAAGCAATACACACAAGACATTAAAACCTGGATTTGAACATTGTCAGAGAAGAAGCCTGTCTCATGTTTTCAGGAAGACTGTTCTAGATTTTAGCTGCATGAATTTGATAAAGAGGCAGTTCCCTTTAATCCTGACTCTGGGACCGGCAGGAGGCCAGTCCCTGTGCTCCTCAGAGTCCCAGCAAGACCCAGGCCCTGTGCTCCTCAGAGTCCCAGCAGGAGGCCCCTGTGCTCCTCAGAGTCCCAGCAAGACCCAGGCCCTGTGCTACTCAGTCCCAGCAGGAGGCCAGTCCCTGTGCTCCTCAGAGTCCCAGCAGGAGACCAGTCCCTGTGCTCCTCAGAGTCCCAGCAGGAGGCCAGTCCCTGTGCTCCTCAGAGTCCCAGCAGGAGACCAGTCCCTGTGCTCCTCAGAGTCCCAGCAAGACCCAGGCCCTGTGCTACTCAGTCCCAGCAGGAGGCCAGTCCTGGTGCTCCTCAGAGTTCCAGCAGGAGACCAGTCCCTGTGCTCCTCAGAGTCCCAGCAGGAGGCCAGTCCCTGTGCTCCTCAGAGTCCCAGCAGGAGGCCAGTCCCTGTGCTCCTCAGAATCCCAGCAAGACCCACGCCCTGTGCTACTCAGTCCCAGCAGGCCAGTCCCTGTGCTCCTCAGAGTCCCAGCAGGAGACCAGTCCCTGTGCTCCTCAGAGTCCCAGCAGGAGGCCAGTCCCTGTGCTCCTCAGAGTCCCAGCAGGAGACCAGTCCCTGTGCTCCTCAGAGTCCCAGCAGGAGGCCAGTCCTGGTGCTCCTCAGAGTTCCAGCAGGAGACCAGTCCCTGTGCTCCTCAGAGTCCCAGCAGGAGGCCAGTCCTGGTGCTCCTCAGAGTTCCAGCAGGAGACCAGTCCCTGTGCTCCTCAGAGTCCCAGCAGGAGGCCAGTCCTTGTGCTCCTGGCAGGTTGATATGGCTCTAACACGCCAGCAACACTACAGAAGGATTGTATCTTCACTCTTTAATATACTGTAATTATTCATTTGTTCAGCCCTTTGAGTCACCTTTTGTATGAACTGTGCGATACAAAAAAACTTGCCTCTCTTGCCTAAACACACACAGATTCTAAACACATATAAACTCCTCCAGCTTCACCCGGAGACTGTTGCATATTTAATGAGATCTCGCTCGAGGACCAGCGTTAATGAAGACGTCTCCAAAACCTCGACATGTGGCTTTTTCAATTACTCAGACATATGTCGCCGCGGCAACACCGGATCCCGACCATCTGAGCTCCCGACATTCAGAGAGCCCCGTCCCCCAGAAGCGAGTGTTGAATATTTATTTTCCCCAACGACAAGCCGCTTTGTCTGGCAGAGTAATCGCCTCGTGTGACATCGGGAGAAACTGTAACACAATGTTGGGCTCGGTAATTGATTGTGCAAGAGTTTGGATCAGAGGGATATTCAGAAGAAGACGTAACCGCGGCAACAGACTGCCACATAAGGCTCAGTGTCGTTTACATTTAGTACGTTTGAAATTCCAACATTGATCTAAAACGGGTATAGGGCTGGAAAGCAGAAGATTTCCACCCGCGGATACAAACAATCCACACGTGCCGGTTGTACGGTGCAGAGATCGCCGACTTCTTCCTCCTTAATGGATTTTTCAGTGTTGTTTCGGACACATTTTGTCTCTGGGACAGAAAAACTGAGTGAGCGGTCCGAGTTAGCTGTGAACTCTGGCCATGTCCTGAAGTTTCTATATGACTCTGACCATGTCCTGACGTTTCTATATGACTCTGGCCATGTCCTGACGTTTCTAAATGACTCTGGCCATGTCCTGAAGTTTCTATATGACTCTGGCCATGTCCTGAAGTTTCTATATGACTCTGGCCATGTCCTGAAGTTTCTAAATGACTCTGGCCATATCCTGAAGTTTCTATATGACTCTGGCCATGTCCTGACGTTCCTATATGACTCTGGCCATGTCCTGACGTTTCTATATGACTCTGGCCATGTCCTGACGTTTCTATATGACTCTGGCCATGTCCTATATGACGGGGAGATGAGAAAGGCGCAGGGCCGTCTTCGAATTCATTGTTTTTTAATCCACTTTTATGCATCAGAAAGAAAATATAGAACCACTATTCTCATGCTAATAAATGGATGTTGTCCCTTACAGGTCATAAGCCAATGTTTATGAATGATCAGTTTTCTATCTGTGCATTAGCTCCATCTCCACTTCACACTCACTGCAGCTTCACCTTGAGCCTTTTTCCTTTTTGCTGTGCTGTCAAAAATAACATGATGTAGTTGGGTTCATTTAATACTAATGATTGTCTGTTTTCTGTTGTATTTCAACATTTGTTAAACGTTATTTAATATGCATTGTTCCCCCTTTATCTCTCAAATAAATAAAATACAAGCCTCAATTAAAGGCTCGGCCGCGCACTATTTACAGGTTAGCTACAAGTTAGCTTGAATACATATTTAAGTTAACCGTCTGTAAAATCGGACAAAATGTTTTATCAGAACTGCAGCTTTTCCCACAGCTTCAGTTGGTTTTGGGGAACCTTAAAAATGAGCATGCGTCGTGTAAACTTTGATGATTAAAGCCGAAAACAAAGCAGAGCATTTTCCACCATTCCTTTAAACCTCCTCTTCGAACAGCTGACGGTTTGTTTGTATCCAAGCAAAGAACCGGGACGAGACTTTCCAGCCCTATACTTCTTCTTCTTCTTCTTGGTTAGTCTTGTTCTTCTGATTATCAATCAATCAATCAAAGTTTATTTGTAGAGCGCCTTTCATACACAGGGCAACACAAAGCGCTTCACAGTCCACATCACAAATCATCACATAAACAAACACCAGAATCACAATTAAAACATTAAAATCACACAAAAGATTAAAACACAATTAAAACATTAAAATCACACAAAAGATTAAAACACAATTAAAACATTAAAATCACACAAAAGATTAAAACACAATTAAAACATTAAAATCACACAAAAAAATAAAACCATTAAAACTTTCAAAATTACACAAGAAATTAAAAAAAAAAAAAAAAAAAAAAAAAAATTAATTATTATTAATTTAGTCTTCTCAGTACTTTTGAAATTCCAATATTGAGCTAGAACGTGTATAAAAGAGGCAACTTTGCCGTGGTCAGTCCCGCCGTGTGAGCCCCAGTCTCAGTCCCGTGACAGTGTGATGTCATTGTAGAGCTATGACATCACACTCACAGCCGTTTTCTGTCTTTTAAAACCAAAGTATTGAACATAAATTAGTTTGAGTGTGTTTGCAGTTGGTAATTTTCGCATTTCAAGCAGTCGTCTCGGAGAATCAAACCGTTCTAACACAGCAAATGCAATGACCACAAACACATTGGAAGGTTTCAAATAAGGCCACAATTCCCAGGAGCCTGAACTGGCGTGCTGGATTTAATAAAGTGCAAAACATGAAAACAGAGACAAATCTGCGGAGCTACGTAGATCCCAAGTGTAGTTAGAATAATACAGAAGAAAGAATAAAATCTCTTCAAAGGAAAAATAAAATACAGTATATTCTAGTGCAGTGTCTCCCAAAGTGGGGTCCGCGGCCCCCTGGTGGGCCGCGAGGGTACTGCAGGGGGGCCGCGGGAGGTCATAAAAAAAATAAAAAAATAATATAATTATTTAATGTTAAATTTATAATGTTTTGTTTGTAATATTAAAATATTTGTGTTCATTATTTGACTTGAATAATCCACTGTAATCATTTTTGTATTACAATGTTTGTAGCAGAGGCTATTTCCCCAAAATAAAATAACCAGAAGAGCCTATTCTTAATGTTGTCTTCTTGGTTATTATTTTGGGGGGCCATGCAGACCCGTCAGATTTTTAAGGGGACCTCGGTGTTACTGAGTTTGGGAATGGCTGATCTAGTGCAATAACTCTATGGTTGTATGTCTGCATCTGTACATGTTAGTACCATGAGGGTCTGGGACACAGACTCGGACCGTGAACCGAGACCCGGCGATCCAAGATGAGTTTTAGTTTACATTAAGTTCTATGGGACGTTTTTCTTGGTAACGTGAATTTAGTCTGCAGTACCACAGCGCCCCCTTTTGCCCGTGGGTGGGACAGCTATAAGCTAGTAATACACTGTTCAGATTATTATAGATCCATGCAGTGGATACAAGTGGTTCTGTATTGCACATTGCATATTGCACATTAGTATTGCACATTCATTAGTTGAAGTTATTGCACAGACTGACTCACCATGTTGAGTTTGAGCTCCATGTTCAGGACGCCTCCGCTGTCCAGCACCGGCATCAGGTTGATGGCGAACACCGCGGCTCGATCCGGCGGCACCGAGATGTTTGGACCGAAGAAGACGTAGAAATGAACCGAAAAGGTGTCAAGCTCGTTGCGCAGCGTGGGGCGGATGGGCCAGCACCGGTTGGGGTCCGAGTCCGGGGCCAGGTAGACCACGCTGTTCTCGAGGGCCGGTCTGAGGCTGGAGTTCTGGACCAGAGCGGGGAACGAGGCCAAGGACATGGTCTCGGACAGAGAGAAGCCCATGGGGGTCCCGAAGGACTGGGGCATGTTCATGGAGGAGCTGGGGGGGACGGGCTCTTTGGACAAGTTCTGTTTGGAGCAATCTGTGGATGACAAACACACACAGGGTCAGGTCTAGCCTGGTCTTACCACACCATCGTACTCATTTCATTTTGTACTAAGGTCTGGATTTGCTCCATTGGGCTCCTTTAACAGGTGGGAGGGGTTCACTGTGACGTAATGCGCCCGAGTGAGTCTATGGTATTTAACCAAGCTTTAGCATTTAGCCCTTAGCCTAGCTTTAATCATCTCCTTTGCCGCTAACAGAGCCTGTGGGGAGTTGCGCCACAATCTTTGCCTCAATGACATTTGCCAAACATTCCTCTTTTTACGGCTTCAATTTCTTGATAGAACCAGGACAGATTATTTTAATTTTGCATTCTTCGCCAAACTACAACCAGCCAGCAACCTCTTGACGTCACCCACATCTAACTACAACACCCGCCTCCCCCGCTCGCTGATTGGTCGGATGGGATTCAACCCATGTAACTGCAGACACTGGGACTAGACCCAGACATACAAGTAGGAAATGATCAGTCAGTTTACGGATGGCTAAAACCAGGCTAGGTCAGAGAAAGAAAGAGAATGATTGAGGATGGTTTTGCACTTTTATTTGTTTTGTTTGTTTGTATGGATGTGGTTTTGCTGCAACTGGACACCTGCATTTCTCCAATGAGGATCAATCGAGTATCTATCTAAAGAAGTATGTTTACAATATATAGCTTTAGCATAATAAGGAATCAAGTCTAAAATCTCCAAGTTGAGCGCGATGGAGAAGCGAGAATTAAGAAACAAAACCTCTTTAGCATAATAAAGAAGCAAGTGTAAAGTACTGTCTATACCAGTGTTAGAAATATACCATAGATCAAATTAAATACAACATTTATATAGAATAAAACCAGACACTGGGGACTCGAACACAAACAGACGGCGAGTGACTCCTCTCTCTTCCATAACGATGCGAACAGAACGACCCCGGGCCTTCCTCAATCTGCCACAATGTAAACAGCGCGTTCCAGCCTCGACGCTGCCGTTTAATGAGACACAGATTCACGGTAATTGCCGACGGTGAGTTCTGGTTCAGCTCACAGCGGAGAGAGACTTTGGTGGAGACGGATCTGAACCAGAGTTTTGAGCCAGGATCAGGCGTCTGCTGTTGGGTGTGATGTCTGTCCAGATGTGGCAGAGTTAGCAAAGGGATTTGAACCTTTAAAGGAGAATTATGTATAAATCTGGCCGAAAGTGGTACTGCAGCCTCTCCCACTCTCCCTGACTCAGGTTGCCAGATGTGCAGACAAATCTAGCGAGGAACATAATATCTGATTAAAGAGTTATTTCTACAACAAATCTATAACCAACTACTTTTTCACAAAGACAGAAATCCTGGTTTTATTCCTTGTTTTAAGAATCATAACGAGATCTTTTTTTAGATCCGCGCCACATGGTTCTTTACCAGTGACATTTTCTCAACGCGGTGAGTTCTGGCGCCCGGATCACAGATTTTCTGATTGGTAAAACGGTGGAGGGCGGGACATCGAAATGAAAACAATAACAAGATTTAGAGGCTGGAAAACTAATCTAAAAATTTGAATATCTCTGAGCTACTGTTATCAGTTAAAGAAGTATTGGAAAAGAGTAGGTTTTATTTTTGCCTTTTGACAGATCAGGGCCCTTTAATGATGAGCGTTAAGGAAATTGTTTTTACCAAATGAGTTTCTGTTTCACCTGCTGGTCCCAGGCCACAGCAAATACCACTAAACTGTTAAGACAAAATATCATTAAAAGTTATGTTGTTAAACACATTTTGACATCTTACACTGAAAAAAGTGATGAAAAATAGGTCAAAAATGTCTCAAATCTGGCAAAATGTATCTTAATTAGAGCACATTGTGACTGCCTTAAAACAAGATTATGCCAAAGAAAATGAGAAAAATGATCTTGTTTTAAAGAGATACAAAAATGTGTCCGTTGAAATGAGAAAATAAAGCAAGTTTTTGAAATGAGACTAAATGACTTTGTCCTGGATCAGAATGTGTCAGATTCAGATAAAAACACCTGATTCTAGCAAATATTTTCTCTTATTTCATATGGAAAGGGAGAGAGAGAGACAGAGAGAGTGAGTGATAGAGACACAGAGAGAGAGAGACAGACAGAAAGAGAAAGAAAGAGAGAGAGAGAGAGAGAGAGACAAACAGAGACAGAGAGAAAGAGAGAATGAGCAAAAGACAGAGAGAGAGAGACAGATATAGCGAGAGAGAAAGAAATAGAGAGACAGAGAGATAAAGAGAGAGATTGAGAGAGATATAGAGAAAGACAGAGAGAGATCTCTCTCAACAACAACAACGGAGGACGAAAAGAGAGAGGAGTCTTCTCATATCTCCTCAATCTCTCTCTTTATCTCTCTGTCTCTTTATTTCTTTCTCTCTCGCTATATCTGTCTCTCTCTCTCTCTGTCTTTTGCACATTCCTCTTTCTATCTCTCCTGTCCTCTGTTTGTCTCTCTCTCTCTCTCTTCTCTCTTTCTTTCTCTTTTCTGTCTGTCTCTCTCTCTCTGAGTCTCTATCACTCCACTCTCTCTGTCTCATCTCTCTCCTTTCCATAACATAAGAGAAAATATTTGAGGAGGTGTTTTTACATCTGAAATCTGAAGAGAGAGAGATCAAAACTTCACTCTCATTTCAACGGCACATTTTTGTATCTCTTTAAAACAAGATCATTTTTCTCATTTTCTTTGGCATAATCTTGTCTATCAGGCAAGTCACACTGCGCGCCTACTTAAGATACATTTTGCCCGATTTGAGACATTTTTGACCCTATTTATCATCACTTTTTTCCGTGTAAGATGTCAAAAATGTGATTAAACAACAAAACCTTTTTACTGAATATTGTGTCTTAACAGTTTAGTGGACTTTGCTGTGGCCTGGGGACCAGGCAGGTGAACCGCCACTCATTTAGGACACCACCCTTTCCCATTAAAGCTCCTCATTAACAGGGCCCTGATCTGGTCCAAAAGCCAATAAATAAAACCTACGCTTATTCCAATACTTCTTTAAACTGATCACAGTTCGACTCCGAGATATACAATTTATGGATAGTTTTCCAGCCTCTAGAATCTTGTTATTGATACCGATGTGGTTTTACCACCTCAGAAAGTTGACGTTGAGAAAATGTGTGACATGGTGGGGATCTAAAACAAAAGCTCGTTATGAGGGTCTTGCATAACTACAAACAAGGAATGACCAGGGCCGATGGTGTTGACGGAGTTGATGGTGTTGGATGGTGGTGTTGACGAAGAGTTGATGGTGTTGAGGGTGTTGGCGGCCTAGACCACATTGTAGATGGTCCTGATAGTGCTGATGGTGTAGACGGTGCTGATAGTGTTGATGGTGCTGATAGTGTTGATGGTGCTGATAGTGTTGATGGTGCTGATAGTGTTGATGGTGTAGACGGTGCTGATAGTGTTGATGGTGCTGATAGTGTTGATGGTGTTGACTGTGTTGATGGTGTTGATGGTGCTGATAGTGTTGATGGTGTTGACTGTGTTGATGGTGTTGATGGTGTAGATGGTGTTGATGGTGTAGATGGTGTTGATGGTGTTAATGGTGTTGATGGTGTAGATGGTGTGGATGGTTTGAATGGTGTAGATCAGGGGTGCTCACACTTTTTCAGCATGCGAGCTACTTATAAAAGGATCAAGTCAAAAATGATCTACCTACTACAAAAATGCAAATCATATATTTCAAAAAATATTCTTTATATCTACAATGTATGTTTATGTACATGCAAAACCGCATGAGCCAATATAGCACAACACAACACAATTACCTATGTACATTTTTTGTCATTACCCGAGTTTACTCTGATGACTTGCACTGAATTGAATCGGCCAGGGATGCATAGTCCGGAAAATTGGTGGTAACTCGCTGACAAGTTTGTCGTGGTTTTGCTTTCCTGCACTGAGCGCGGTTGTTTGCGCATGTGCAGTCACCTAAGTGTCAGTAAAACATTACTGAGTAAAACACAGATGTCATTTGACTGTGGTGCCATGTCCATGTGCCATGCCTGTTTTTTTTAAAATCCAAATATTTCCCCTCCTCAGTTTATAAAATAATTTGCATCCACACATCTGCGTTATCAATCACATTCGTAACATTCCAAACATGTGCGTCTCTTACGTCCTGTCCTGCGTTGGGGAAAAACACAGAAGTGGGCGGAGTTTGATGCAGACTCCGGTAACGGCACTTTTACAGTCATAGAAGACACTCAGAGTAAAGACATATGTTTACAAGCACTGACCCCGTCCTCAGCCCTGGTTTAGTCCTGGTTTAATCCTGGTTTAGTCCTGGTTTAGTCCTGGTTTAGTCCTGGTTTAGTCCTGGTTTGGTTGTTTTCGAGCGTGAGTCCCCGCGATCACTTTGCTGCTCTCTGATGTGGAGGATGTTCGCTGCTGCGAGCATCTCACAGCGAACAGTTTTTAAGGTAGTATGATCCATGCTTCAGTGATCAGAGGAATTTAGGGGGGGTACTGTGGCGTGCGAGAACGCAAAACTCCGGTTATCTCTGACTACACACAAATGCATTAACGGAGTTTTCAAAAATCTCCACTTTGCCCGGAGTTTTTTGTATATATTTTTAGAATGTGTAATTTTTTATTTATTTAATGCGATCTTACTACCTTTGCGAACTGGTAGTCGCGATCGACGTATTGAGCACCCCTGGTGTAGATGGTGTAGATGGTGTTGATGGTGTTGATGGTGTTGATGGTGTTGATGGTGTAGATGGTGTTGATGGTGTTGACTGTGCTGATGGTGTTGATGGTGTTGATCTGACCATGGTGTTGATGGTGTGGATGGTGTTGATGGTGCTGATGGTAAGTAGGGTGGTTGATGGTGTTAGATGGTGTAGATGGCGATGGTGCTGGTGGTGTCGACTGTGTAGGGTGTGTCGCGATCACCTATGGTACTGGGCTTGTAGAAACTGGAACTCCTCCTTGATGCGGTCGCAGGACTCGGTGACGGTGAATGTGAACGGCTGGTCCCGGCTGCTGCGGCACAACAGAGGACAGAGGTAAGACACAGACCTGACTGTGTACTCTACTCTACTCTACTCTACTCTACTCTACTCTACTCTACTCTACTCTGCTCCGCTCTGCTCTGCTCTGCTCCGCTCCGCTCTGCTCTACTCTACTCTACTCTGCTGTACTCTACTCTGCTGTACTCTACTCGACTCGACTCGACTCGACTCGACTCTACTCTGCTCTGCTCTGCTCTACTCTACTCTGCTGTACTCTGCTCTACTTTACTCTACTCTGCTGTACTCGACTCTACTCTACTCGACTCTGCTCTGCTCTGCTCTACTCTACTCTACTCTACTCTACTCTGCTGTACTCTGCTCTACTTTACTCTACTCTGCTGTACTCGACTCTACTCTACTCGACTCTACTCTACTCTACTCTGCTCTGCTCTACTCTACTTTACTCTACTCTGCTGTACTCTGCTCTACTTTACTCTACTCTGCTGTACTCTACTCTGCTGTACTCGACTCTACTCGACTCTACTCTACTCTGCTCTGCTCTGCTCTGCTCTGCTCTACTTTACTCTACTCTGCTGTACTCTGCTGTACTCTACTCTACTCTACTCTACTCTGCTGTACTCTACTCTACTCTACTCTACTCTACTCTACTCTACTCTACTCTACTCTACTCTACTCTACTCTACTCTACTCTACTCTACTCTACGCTACTCTACTCTACTCTTCTCTGCTGTACTCTACTCTACAGTACTCTACTCTACTCTACTCTACTCTACTCTACTCACAGTTAGAACACTCTAGTACCAGCTTGGCCTGGATATAAGTAGAGTAGAGTAGAGCAGAGTAGAGACTAAAAGCACATCCAGTCTAACCATTCACAAACATATTTCTCAAAACTACTTTTTAGCATCTGACCTAAACTTGACTCACTTTACTTTAGATAAAAACATAAATCTATGAATAAATAATACATGGATTTGGTTCCGTGACCTCTGTCTTCTCATGACCCCAAACCTCTGCTCACTCATCCATAATCCACTCCAGGGGTCTCCAACCTGTAGCTCGGGAGCCACCAGAAGCTCGCCACCCGCTTCCAGGTAGCTCGCCAAAGGATTTAGAAATAAACAAATCAAATAATATACTTTACTTTTATAATATACTTTATACTTTAATATACTCTCATTTTGTGCAGTAGTAACAAATATGCGGCGATAAATAATGACAGTACCCAATATCAGGCTTATTCACTCCAATATACAGAATCAGCAATTTTGTTCCCAGGGCCCTTAAAGGAGTAGCTCTCTGCCTTTATCGTCCCGGGAAAGTAGCTCTCTGGGTGAAACAGGTTGGAGACACCTGATCTACTCAGTTAAAGTCTGTCGGCAGTATTTATACCTTACAAATGTATTAAGACTTTTTTTAACTTAATTGCACCATTTACCAAAACCTGTGTGTGACGTCCAGACACTCACAAAGAAAAACAAATACTTCTGCAAATTGAGAGGTTGAACATGTGAGTATGTGAATTAAATTAATATCTGACGGGTTTTGTTTTGGTTTTTTGTTTTACTAATTTGCATCTTGACCCCTGACCTTCTGCTGATTTCCTGTTGACATTGTTGGAATTGAATGAGACAGGACTGAATATTTTCTACATGTTGTGTATGTGTCGCCAGTGGAAATGAGTCACAAATGGCAAAAATGTGGCAAAATCTTAATCTGACACATTCTGCCTTAAAACTAGATTCTGCAAAACGGGACGATGTCATTTAGTTTGATTTAAAGAACTGTTGCTTTATTTTCTCATTCCAAAGGACACATTTCTGTATCTTTTTAAAACTAGATCATTTTGGTTATATACATACACACACTTACAGTATATACACACAGAAACAAACACAATAATACACATATCCTGTACTCATACATACACACACACGCTCATATGTACACACACACATTCATAACCATATGCACTCTCACACACACACACATGCACACATACACACACACTCACACACACACATGCACACATACACACACACTCATACATACATACACAAACACAATAATTCACAAATCCTGTTTACACACTCATACATACACACACATACATACACACACATACATACACACACATACATACACACACATACATACATACATACAAACACGTACACACACACTCATACATACAGTACACAAACATACATAGCCATATGCACTCTCTCACACCCACACACACACACACACACATACATAAACAAACACAATAATTCACAAATCCTATTTACACACTCATACATACACATGCACACACACACACACACACATACACAACATACTAGAGCTGGCAACTAACGATTATTTTGTAATCGATTAATCTATCGATTATTTTTACGATTAATCGAGTAATCGCTTGGCTGTGAATTGTGTAGAAAAAATTTTTTTTTTCATCACAAAAAGCTAAAGTGGCAACACTCGAGGACGTATTGATGGCGTAAACTTAAAGTAAATGTTTGTAACAGGCTCTTTGTGCTAATTCTGCTATCTGATTGGATGAGACAGACAGATATTCATGAAATTATAAAAACAAATTTTCGGTTTTTATTATTTTTTTTTTTTTATGGGGCGACAGTAGCTCAGTTGGTAGAGCATTGGCCTTAAGCCCAGAAGGTCGTGGGTTCAATTCCCACCTCTGCACCTTCTCCACCGACTCCCACTGATGACCGCTGTCGTTGTGTCCTTGGGCAAGACACTTAACCCCACTTTGCCCAAAGCCCCCACTGAAAGATCAAGGCTATGCTCACACTCAGAGAGCAGCCGTCCTCCTGTGGACTCACCACCTGCAGAGGGTCAGTGAGGGGCTGGTGCTATGAGACTTGGGTGGCATCTCTGACTGCCATCCCCCTGACCCAGAAATGGATTAAAGGGTAGAAAATGGATGGATGGAAGTCGGTTTTTATCAAAAAAACTACATTTTCATGTCATTTTTGCTCTGTTTGAGTCCGTGTGAACCAGAAAACGATTAATCGATTACTAAAATAGTTGTCGACTATTTCAATAATCGATTAGTCGTCGATTAATCGATTAGTTGTTTCAGCCCTACAACATACATACATTCACATACACATACACACACACACACACACACACACACACACATACACATACACAACATACATACATTCACATACACATACACACACACACACACACACACACACATACACATACATTCACATACACATACATACGTACACACACATACATACACGCACACACACATACACACACACACACATACATACATTCACACACACACACATACACACACACACACCGACACACACACATACACATACATACACACACACACACACACACACACACATACATACATACACACACACACACACACACATACATACACACACACACACATACATACACACACACACACATACATACACACACACACACGCACATACACACACACATACACATACACATACATAAACACACACACACACACATACACACACATTCAACGCAGGTAATCGTCGAATTTTGTCATTCTTCTTTTGACTTTTCCACTCGCTTTTTGGATGTGGAACTATGAGATTGGACTCAATTTAACGTAGATAAAACATTAGTATATTCTAAAAAAAGACAATAAAATATAAATATGAAAATACATACTAACATTGAATTTGTGTTGTGAAAATGTGTTGCTCAGTTTGCGTCTCAAAGTCTAACCTCTCACTAAACTAATGATGTTGAACACTATAGTAGACAATAAATGAAAAAAACTCGATTCTTTGCCTAATTTTTCCTGTAGATTGGGCTTCCATTTAATTCTATAAACTGACATTTTAAACACAAACACGTTTATCATTTCTTTTTGTAATCTTACTCCAGCTTATTAGTCCAGTCCTGAAACAGATATTGGAAATGTCCAAACAACCTCCGCCTCTGTCATAACCAGAGAAGCACGGGGCGACTTTAGACGTTCATATTTGTGTGTGTGCAGAGATTGTTGCCACTTATAATTGGAGTAAATGAGTCACCAGAGGCCAAAACTACACAGCCTCAGCTTCATTTCCACAGAGCGCTTCAGTGGTGCTGCAGAGGTCAGCAACCGAACAATGTTATGTCGAAAGTAGCTGAAAAAGTGTGTGTGTCTCGTGTTTTTGGGACTAAAAAAATCAAAAGTGAAAAATGAGCCCTGTTCAAAAAAATATGTATTTATTTAAAGATGTTTCAGCAGAAATGTCATAGTTTTCAACATTATCTGCTGAAAATTGGGATCAAAACACAACAAAAACACACGGAAATGCTCATTTTTGTCAATATTTTTGCGCTTGCTGCGAGTTATTGGCCGTTCATACACCAGAGGTAGAAGACACTGGAACCGCTTTTGAACTCAGTCACAATAATAACAAAAACACACATAAAACTCCATTTCATCAACGTCGTTATAAACAGACGGAATGTCATTATTGTGGAGAAATCAAACTGAAGAGAGAGCGCAATTTAACAGCTTTAAATAATCAGTTTAGTAAAATATTGGGATTTTTTTGAGCCCACAGAGAGAGACTTTTTACCTCAATATTTGAGTGTATTACAGATGTATCTACAGATGTAAACAGACTGTGTAGTTCAGATATTTAAAACATACTTGTATCATTACTGTGTGTTATTTATCAAGCTAAAAAGTAGAGATTTTATTTTGGTTGATTTGTTTGTTTATAGATGTCCTACACATCAAAAATGTAGATAATAATTGCTTGAATCTGGTGTTTTGTATCTTAATCGGAGCACATTCTGACCAGATTCTCCAACGGGTCAAAAGCATTTAGTCTTTTATTTTCTCATTCCAAAGGAGACATTTCTTGTATATTTTAAAAACAAGATAATTTGGCTCATTCTCCCATTTCCCAATCTTGTTTTAAGGCAGAATGTACTCCAATTTTCGACTTATTCTTCATCATTTTTTGCAGTGTATTCTCTCGTACGTGTGCTACTCATTCTATACTGCTCTGTAACTTGGGAGTTGCAACACTGACATTTTCCCCACTGAGACTCATACAAGATCTCTCTCTCTTTCAATCCCTATCTCAATCTACGTCTCTGCGTAATTGGCAGCAGAATAGATTCATATTACGACATGACATGACCTTAAATCCTAATTTGGATGCAGAAAATAGCGTGCGTGGTTCAAAGATTACTCCACATGAATGGATAGGGGGGAGAGGTTGAAGGAGGGATGGGGGGGGGGGGGGCGTAATAGCAGCCCACTTGTTATTAAGCTCGTTTCTGTCTCTTTTTTGTCATCCAACGTGACAATACGTGCCTGTGCCTTCTCTCGCGTCTCGCCTGGATGCCTCAGCTGCTGCGCGCTTACGACAATGCCCACGATTGTACCAAAACTGGAAAGTGTTCATCAGCCATGCCTTTCCCGTCTCTCCCCTCTGCTCTCTCCCCTCTCTCCCCCCTCTCCTCTCCTCTCCTCTCCTCTCCCTTGGTCCCTTCTCTTCTCCCCCAATCTATACCCAGCGAGCGATGCACTTACCGGATGTCGCGCCGGGGGGTACATCTTACTCAGGTCGCGAATCATTAAGAAAAAAGCAATGTTGGGGAAAGTTCCTCAGTTGGAGAAAAACAAAACGCGGACAGATGAGCGCGTCAGTTAGAAGCCAAACACAGGAACATCCTCAAAGTCCATTCCAGATCGAAGCGTGAGTTTCCCCGTGCGTAAATGCCATTATTAAAGAGTCCAACGTCGCCAGGTCCGGTCCTCTCCAGTCCGCGCCGTCTGTCTTCACGCGTCTATAGGTGACTCTGCTTAATTTCCTCCACATCACAGAGCATCAGCAGCAGCAGTAATAGCAGCAGTAACAGCAGAGCACCGCGTCCAACCCATCTCTCCCTCTCTCTCTCTCTCTCCCTTTCTCTCTCTCTCTTTCTCTCTACGCCAAATTTAGAAGCGAACCAGTCGAGCGCACCCAATTACACACTCGCGACCATTACGCGCGCGTCGTCTGGGACCTGTAGTTTAATTCATATTGGCCTGTGATAAGTGCTGCGTCCGTGGAACTACAACTTCCCGGATTGCTCTCTCTCCAACCCCCCCAAAAAAGCCAATGGTGTGTGGTCTGAAAGGAGGAGCGACCATTACGCACAGCCAATAGACGCCCAGGCAGGTGCGTGTCGTGGTTCTTCGCTTCTTTTCGCCAATCGCGCGTCGCAGAAGGCAATTTATGTGTCTTCCCCACGTGGGATCCAGAGGAGGAGGCTGTCACTGCTGCTGCTGATGCTGTTGCTGCTGCTGCTGCTGCTAAAAGATGTCATAGGGATTAATGTAATATCTGTGGCCTCCTGTGTTTTATATAGAGATTTCCAGAGACAGCGCGTGGCTCCCAGGTGCAATTTCTTCTTCTACATTTTTTACGCGATTTTAATTGAATCCGTGCTAAACATTAGGTGCTGTGGTTCAGAGATGAAGGCTCATTAAACTGTGTGTGGTTAGAATCTGACAAATGGGAGGATAAATGTGTGGATTGTTGACAGCAGCGGTTGTAGAAACAGGGTGTGATGTCGGTCATTCATAAATTAAGAGTTTCTTTATTGGTCCCAGGGTGGGGGAAATGTCAGTGTTGCATCAGCAGTTAGAGAACAGTGTAGGAATGAGGAGCACACAACACAAGATAAATGAACAATTACTCTATAAAATCTCTAACTTTAGTATAATATATTATTTTGTGTGTGCAACAGTAGTTTTACAATATTATTATTATGTCTGTTCTAAACTAGTTACAATCTTGCTCTATAGCTTCAAAAATATGTATATTTTTTTGCTTTATCCATAGTGCAATCAGGAACTTACGATAGAACACCCATCCCCCCGCCACTTCTGACCGAATCCTGTTTTAAAACTTGTCAAAAAGCCCCCGACTATGACATCATTGACGTAACGTGTTTTCTGCCAATACAACAAAAGTATCGCCTCGAAATTCCCGGACAGGACCATAATGTTGTCTACAGAGCTTTTGTGGCTGTAAGTGAGAAGGTACGCATCTGTCATTCAGCCAGCTTCAGCTTCTGTGAGATGTGGCTCAGTAAAAAGAGGACGTCATACCTCATTTTAAAGCTCAGCACGGACTCAATCCTGTCTGAAGAGATAAAAAATCTGAGTTGACGCATCCTGGACCAGTCTGTGTGAGGTGAAGTGGGCCCCTTACCTGAGAAAACCCCTTGTTCAATATTATAAAAAGCACAGTTCATTCAAGATAGAAACTTACGCAGACGCAGAAAGAACATGCAAACTCCACTCAGAAGAGGCTCTGTTCCAGCCCAAGATTCAAAACTCAGCCACGAGCCGTGTCTTTTAGTGCCTGACAGAACCATTTCTTAAAAATTTGCTAAATAAAAAGATGAAGACGGCCTGTTGTGCTCTGATTTGTCACAACATTTTACTCATTTAAGTCGACAAACAACATTACATTTTATTTCCCCAAAAACACAGTTAGACGTCCTTCTTTTCCTTTAACGGTTCCTCAATCATTTGGTAGATCACTTTTTGAGTCTACATAAAACTTGGAACTGAAATCTACCTCATCGGGGAATCTCTATCACTCAGTTTTAGGCCCTTTCACCATCAAACTGTATGTTAGACATTTGGTAAAAGTCTAAAGTAAAAAGCTGGTGGTAAAATAAAACATAAAACAAAAACATATGGCTTTCTTCAAGGAGAGAACATTAAAGGGTTAAGGCTCCAAATGTCGTCTAAATCATGCTTATTATTTACTGATTACATTCTTATTATGACGGAGCCTTTTCAACACCATAATATACTTGTTCTTTGATGCTAGAGTTAGACATGTTATTTTATTTTAATTAGTATAACTTTTGTTTGTTTATCTTGTGCTGTGTGCTCCTCTTTCCTACTGTTCTATAACTTGTGATGCAACACTGAAATTTCCCCGCTCTGGGACGATTAAAGGATCTCTCAATCTTACTATCAATTCAATCCAATTCTTGTATAGCCCTAAATCACAAACAAAACCTTTGATTTCACCAACACAGATCAGAAACAGTTCATGACAATAATTTTTAGTTGTATAGCCCTCTACAGGTGGGTGGAGAGGTCCTTCCTCAAGTGGAGGAGTTCAAGTATCTCGGGGTCTTGTTCACGAGTGAGGGAAGGATGGAGCGTGAGATTGACAGGCGGATCGGTGCAGCGTGCGCAGTGATGCGGTCTCTGTATCGGACCGTTGTGGTAAAGAGGGAGCTGAGCCGAAAGGCAAAGCTCTCGATTTACCGGTCAATCTTTGTTCCCTCCCTCACCTATGGTCATGAACTTTGGGTAATGACCGAAAGAACGAGATCGCGGATACAAGCGGTTGAAATGAGCTTCCTCCGCAGAGTGGCTGGGTGCTCCCTTAGAGATAGGGAGGAGCTCGGAGTAGAGCCGCTGCTACTCCACGTCGAGAGGAACCAGTTGAGGTGGCTCGGGCATCTGTTCCGGATGCCTCCTGGACGCCTCCCTGGGGCGTTCCGGGCACGTCCCACCGGGAGGAGGCCCTGGGGAAGACCCAGGACACGCTGGAGGGACTATGTCTCTCAGCTGGCCTGGGAACGCCTTGGGGTCCCCCCGGACGAGCTGGAGGAAGTGTGTGTGGATAGGGAAGTCTGGGCGTCTCTGCTTAGTACTGCTGCCCCCGCGACCCGGCAACGGATGAAGCGGAAGAAGATGGAATGGAATGGAATGTATAGCACTTTTAAAAAACACCGTTTACAAAGCGCTGCAGTCAGCATAATAAGCAATAAAACAGTCATAAGAATACAATAAAACAATAATAGATGCAGGAAAACAAATCCGACAGAGCAAAACACAAGAAGAAAGACACAATAATAACAAAACAGACGGTAAAATAAAAAAAGTTAAAAGCTGTTTGAAAAAAGTGGGTTTTAAAAAGTGATATAAAAGAGGACACTGATGGTGTAGGAGCGGATCCCTTTCTCAAAATGTGGGTCTCCCCGAGGTCGCTCACTTTTTCCCACTGGGTTTTCTTATGAAGTTTTTCCTTGCCGATGCAGGAGTCCGTTGGGCAGTTAGTGTCTAACATAAGGACTGTGATGATCCAGGACACTTTAACATTCTACAACATGAATGACATTTATCCACATTCATGGACATTGGTCTCTCCCTATGGACCAATTCATATGTGTATATTTTGTGTCTTAACTGTTGATTCTCTGATCTGTGTCGGTGATTTCAATGCTTTTGTTCAGTCTCTGAGATGATGCTGTTGTGATTTAGGGCTATACAAGAATAAGTTGTTGTGTTGTTGTTGCTATGGTGCCTTATCTCCTCGGGCCGGTGGTTCCAAAGCCGAGGACAGAGAAGGCTCGGTCCCCTTTCGTCCGGAGCCTCGATCTTGGAACATTCAACAGGGACCTGCCCGAGGATCTAAGGCCGCGGGGGGGGGTCCAAAAGGGACCAATGTCCATAAATGTTGAGTGTCCTGGATTAGTTAGACCCAACAGACCCTCCCAAGACCCAACAACATGTAACTAACAGGTTTTGAGGAAGTCTCCATTTCCTGGTTCTACAGAACAATCACCAAAATGCAGAAGCAGGAAGGAATCACTCACTTCTTCCAATCAAAAAACAACTTTCATGGACCTGAAACTTTGGCCCTGTTACTGCTGTGCGTCCAAAGAGAAAAGTTGATTTCGCAAAAAACTTCTGCCGTTCGCAATTTCAAAGACTCCACAAATGAACCCAATGCTTTCCATGTGTTTTCTATGGATTAAATATGTGTATATATGCGCCGTTTGTGGATTTTTAATGACTCCGGCCATTAAGCAAAGCCTGCCGTTTGGGGGTGGGCTGGGGCTTTATGTCCCTGCAGACGCCGCATGCACCCCCTGCATGAACCGCACAACAAACGCAGATGAAACAACCGCCGTTTTTCTCTTTTCGCCGCTCGATAACTGGACGCTACTAATTCTAATGGTGCTTATTTATGTATCAATGTTGCCAATCTGCCGTCGCTTTGCTTCCTTCTCTTCGACCCTGGACACGCGACTTTGTTTTATTCTCTCTTCAAAAGGTTCGTGCCTCCTCTACGTGAGTCCATCTTGGGTCGTTTGTTGTCGCAGATTCGATCCTAACTAAATGTACTAAGTTTCTTCTTTATGGTTAGGGCTTAAAGGGTTTTTACTGATTAGACAAAGAAGCTATTCCTGATTATTTCTGTTTGAGAGACAGACTTTAACTTTCATTAGAGGTGATGTGTCTCTGATCAGAAAAAACATTCATGGACTTTATCAACATTTATGGACATTTTAAACTGTTTTTACCGCGGACGAATAGACCTTGTTTTCACGGTCATTTTGATGTGATGCTTAAATGTGGTCTGTGCATTGCTATTCACCAGTTGTCCCTCTGTCTGTTCCATTGGTTTGCACTTGTGGGACTTGAAACCTTGGACTCCCTGGACCTGAGGACTAGTCCCCAACCTGAAACCCTGGACCCTCTGGACCTGAGGAAAAGTCTACAGTCTGAAATGCTAGAGTTTCTGGACCTGAGGAAAAGTCTACAGTCTGAAATTCTAGACTCTCTGGACCTGAGGAAAAGTCTACATTCTGAAATACTAGACTCTCTGGATCTGAGGAAAAGTCTACAGTCTGAAATACTAGACTCTCTGGATCTGAGGAAAAGTCTACAGTCTGAAATCCTGGACTCTCTGGACCTGAGGACTAGTCTACAGTCTGAAATCCTAGATTCTCTGGACCTGAGGAAAAGTCTACAGTCTGAAATACTGGACTCCCTGGACCTGAGGAAAAGTCTACAGTCTGAAATCCTAGAGTCTCTGGACCTGAGGAAAAGTCTACAGTCTGAAATCCTAGAGTCTCTGGACCTGAGGAAAGGTCTACAGTCTGAAATACTGGACTCTGTACCTGAGGAAAGGTCTACAGTCTGAAATACTGGACTCCCTGGACCTGAGGAAGGGTCTGCAGGCTGAAATCCTAGAGTCTCTGAACCTGAGGGAAAGTCTACAGTCTGAAATCCTAGACTCTCTGTGTCTGAGGAAAAGTCTACAGTCTGATATCCTGGACTCCCTGGACCTGAGTCTGAAACACCTCCCTGAGACTGAGAACTAGTCTCCAGCCTTGAACTCTCTGGACCTGAGCACTAGTCCCAGTCTGCCGTTGGGAGTTGTCAGTACTGTTGCTGTGATTTTGGTCGATACAAATAAAATGTATCCGATTTGAAATGTTTTTTAGCTCAACAATGATAATCTAAACGCATTAAAAATATCGCAGAACGACCCGTAGACAATCGGTGCAGCGCAGACCGAAGCACGGTTCGTCTCCTTCAACAAAAGTAAACGCAGTTGTTGATAAAAAGTGTCTCTCTGCAGTCGCCCCTCTCTGTAAAACACATACATTCTACCTCCTGCGTACGTTGCTTGTCTTTCTCTCTTTACTGTTGTCTCGCCTTCCAACCCCATACAGTACGTGCTCGCCGCTCGCATCCTACATCTCCCGCCTTTCAAATACACATTCCGGCGCGGCGCACATATACAAACTAATATCCCAGGTAAGCACAGGGCCTAAAGTGACCTGCTGTCGCCGCCGAGCGAGAATCCACTAAGGCTCCGGAAAGGTAATATCGCTCGCTGCCTCCGTCCTCCTCCCAGGGCTGAGCCGTGGCGTCGGCGAACAGGAATAAACAGATTTATTTGCCTGTGCCCCTCTCTGATTATTTTGCCCCTGCCTTTTGTTCCAGACCTTATGAAACCCAAATGTCAAGTGAGGCGAGGGTTTCCTTTCATATCAAGCGCTGTCAATCATTGGCCCTGGATTATTGGCTCCGACACTGCCCGCCAGGCCATTCAACAAGCTGGTTTTTTTCTCTTTTTCTAGTCGAGAGGAACTTCATTTGGCAGCTGATGCACGGGAGATTGCGATTTGATGGGAGATTGTAGCCGGCCGGGTGTGAGTATGAAGAGTGGAGTGGTTTATCAAGGGAGAGGGATTACTCTGGGCTCGCCTCGGACCGAAGCTTGGCCTTATAACGTTTGATCCGCCGCCACCGCCGCTACATATGTCTCCTAATCTCACCTCAGCCCCCTCCGTGCTCCTCTGTCATTCTCAGTCTGCCCTTCTCAACACACTCCTCCATATTCGCTCCGTCTTGCACTTGTTCCGAGCCCATTATTCGCAGGAGTAGCACATCTGTGAGCTCGGCCTGGTCCGTGGAAAGCTGGTAGGGAGGGGGGGAGGGGGAGTGGGAGCAATCTCATCCGCTGAGCCACCCAGAGTTTGCGACAAGACACCCCCGAGGCGGTTTACTTTAATGAGATTATATTTCTGTAGCAACAACAGAATGTATTATTGTCATCCTGTCACACGCGCTGGCAGATTTGTATGAGCCGGTTTTATATGTGTTCGGTGAAGTACTCCCCAGAAAGTTTACATACATGTGTTATTCTGACGTCTTACAGTTTAGGCCGACAATGGTTAAGATGCACAAGTGGCGTCGAGCAGCGGTAAGTAATAGTCTGGATCTTTATCATCGATCTACGTTCTCTGTCGCGTTTCGAAAAATAGATCTGAAGATGGCGGCGCGCTCTGAATGTAGTTGTTTTTGTGACAATGACAATAAATGATTGAATTTTGAATCTTGAAATGAACCCAAAATATAGGACTGCAAAAGTACTTGGTGTGATAAAAGTAAAATAAGAAAGAAAACGCCAGGGTAAGTGTACGAGACGGAACCAAACAGGGACGAAGACCAGAACTTTGCACCTTAAGCCAAAGAAGATTCCTGGTTTGTGATTTCCTGTTACTGATTCTGATTCTGTTACTGATTCTGATCCTGATTCTGATTCTGATTCTGATTCTGATTCTGATCCTGATCCTGATCCTGATTCTGATTCTGATTCTGATTCTGATTCTGATTCTGATCCTGATCCTGATCCTGATCCTGATTCTGATTCTGATTCTGATCCTGATCCTGATTCTGATTATTTTTATAATCCTGATTCTGATTTTGATCCTGTTTCTGATCCTGATTCTTTTTCTAATCCTGATTCTGATTCTGATTCTGATTCTGATTCTGATTCTGATCCTGATCCTGATTCTGATTCTGATTCTGATCCTGATCCTGATCCTGATTCTTTTTCTAATCCTGATTCTGATTTTGATCCTGTTTCTGATTCTGATTTTGATCCTGTTTCTGATTCTGATTCTGATCCTGATTCTGATTTTGATCCTGTTTCTGATCCTGATCCTGATTCTGATCCTGATTTTGATCCTGATTCTGATTCTGATCCTGATTCTTTTTCTAATCCTGATTCTGATTTTGATCCTGTTTCTGATTCTGATTTTGATCCTGTTTCTGATTCTGATCCTGATCCTGATCCTGATTTTGATCCTGATTTTGATCCTGATTCTGATTCTGATTCTGATCCTGCTTCTGATTCTGGTTCTGATTGAGATCCTGGTTCTGATTCTGGTTCTGATTGAGATAGTGAAAGGACAGGAACAGGGAGTAAGGACCACACAGGGTTTTAATCAATTCAATTCAATTCATTCTTCTTTCGCCCTAAATCCCAACAGCATCGTCCACAGAGATCAGAGAATCAAACACAAAGTGTAGAGAACACATGGGTCCATAGGGAGTTGACCAAGAATGATAAAGTGTCCTGGATCATCACAGTCAATGTTTACTTTTATTAAAGGAGACATACATCTCAATATTGAGCTAAAACCACCCATATATAGGGAACTCTGCATTTGACCCATCCTGATGCCACTAGGGCGTCTGTCAGGAACCGGAGCACCTGGAGGACACCTACGCAGACACAGGTAAACTCCACTCAGAAAGACCCTGTTTCAACCGGGATTCGAACACAGAACCCTTTGCTGAAAAGTGAAGGGTCGCTGCTGCTGTTGTGTCCTTGGGCAAGACACTACACCCCACTATAAGGAGCGCAAAAACAATAGTACGCTGCATACCTGGATGTGTCTTCATCAAACCAACTGTCTCCATTGTGAGATCAATAAAGTATTTCTTCTTCTTCATCTTCATCTTCATCTTCATCTTCTCTGTGGCATCTGAGACTGTCGCTCCTCGTCACGTTCACAGCTGCTGACGGCGGCTGCTCTCGCTGACAGGGACTTGACGCGGTGCTGTTTGAGCTGTCGTGGTCAGCGGGGACGGACAGATGCACTCACACACTGTTTATCCAGACCACAATAACCCCCTGTCCTCCTCCCCCTCTACCCCCCCCCCCCCCCCCCATCTCCCCTTGTGTCCCTTCCCTGCGATAACAAGGAAACCCCATGTCAGCTTGGATCCTACAGAGCCATCAAAGTGCTGCTGAGTTTTTGGAAATTATTTCATATGACTCCTGTGTGTTTAAAAAGTCACATTTTTTGTGACTTTTAAAAAACTTTTAACAAGACTTGAGGAGAACATGCAAACCCCCCACACAGAGGTCCCATCTTGCTGTAACCACGGCACCACGAGGCCGCCTGAAGATCTGAGGTCTGGCGGATGGAGGATCTGGCTCTCACCGGCAGGTGGCGCCACAAAAACAAATGGATTCAGTAAACGTCTCACTCTCTGTGATAGTCACAGCCATAGACTGTAAATATTAACGGACGTAGTCAGGCCTATCTCCGCCGTTCTAATGGGCCAAAAATGTAGCTTTCATGCAGTGATTCAAAATGGCCGCGGGGGCTGGAAAATGTGAATAAAATGTGAATAAAACCACATCCGCACATCAAAGCCCCATTCATTTAAATGAGTGCCTTCAAAAATTCACAGCGAGTAAACTATCCATCCATTCATTTTCTTCCCCTTAATCCATTTCTGGGTCGGGGGGGTGGCAGTTAGAGCTACACCCAGTACACAGAGCACCAGCCCCTCACTGATCCTCAGGAGCTGAGATCTTTCAGTGGGGGCTTCAGGCAAAGTGGGGTTAAGTGTCTTGCCCAAGGACACAACGGCAGCAGTCATCAGTGGGAGTCGTGAAGTAGGTCTTATGGTGGACTCGAACCCACGACCTTCAGGCCCAAAGGCCAATGCTCTACCAACTGAGCCACTGTCGCCCCACGCGAGTAAACTAGACTGGACCAAAACACCCCCCTCAGCATTGACACACATGTGGAACGGAGCTTTGGGCCAAGAGCCAACTTTTGGACCATCCTGTAAAGATGTTTTCGAGAGGTAAGAAGATGCTATATGTTAGCATTGGCTAATTCTTATTCCGGGTCCACCCCCATCGGCCCGGGGTGGTATTGCAGCATGTCAGCACACGTCATTTTGGCCACTTTTGAGCTGGGACCCTCCCCCACTGGTTGCATCACATGTCTGTCAGACGGAGGTCTCACTCTCTCTGTGATGAAAAAGCACATGTCTGTCAGACGGAGGTCTCACTCTCGCTCCATCAGCTGCAGCTCACAGCTCCTGTCTTTAAAGAGGCAATGAGTCATTCCATCGCTACTTCCCCTTTAACGCATCATTAACCCCCAGCGGCTCAAGAAGCAGCGACCTCCCACTGCGGCCGGGATCCAGTCCAGTCCTCGAGGGTTAATCCAGACCTCGGTCTGAGTGAGAAAGGAGTCATTTAAAAAACAACTCTAATTCAAACCAATGAAAATTTCGGAGCAATACTTTTGTTTTAAAGACAGAAAAGGCTCTTAATGTGTGTATTTTTTTGTGTCTTTTTGTGTCTATGTGTATGTAACGGTGTGTGTGTGTGTATGTGCATGCGTGTATGTATCTGTGTGTGTATCTCTATATGTGTGTGTGAGTGTGTCTCTCTGTGTGTGTGTGGTACATTATTGCAGATGTTAAGGATGGTTCTGTCACAGTAATGACTCCAGGGCGACAGCATCTGGTTCAAAGTCGTCCAGTCCCTCTGCCCAAAAAACACACACGCACACACACACACACACACACACACACACACATACACACATACACGAGCAATTAACAATCAGAGAAACTGAGGTCGGAGAATGGTTTCCTCGGGTCCAGGACTCGTGGTAAATGACACTAATTCCATCTTCTGAAAGTGTGGCCATGGATTCTATTGTTCAGAGTTCATTTCTGACGACACACAGGCCTTTTTGGGAGAACTTAAATT